ACACTGCACACTACACACTACACACTACACACTACACACTACACACTACACACTGCACACTACACACTGCACACTACAGACGACACACTGCACACTACAGACGACACACTGCACACTACACACTACACACTGCACACTACACACTACACACTGCACACTACAGACGACACACTGCACACTACACACTACACACTGCACACTACACACTACACACTGCACACTACACACTACACACTGCACACTACAGACTACACATTACACAATGCACACTGCACACTGCACACTGCACACTACACATTACACACTGCACACTGCATACTGAAAACTACACACTACACACTGCACACTACACACTGCACACTACACACCGTACACTACACACTGCACACTACACACTGCACACTACAGACTGCACACTACAGACTGCACACTGCACACTGCACACTGCACACTACAGACTGCACACTGCACACTGCACACTGCACACTACACACTGCACACTACACACTACAGACTACACACTGCACACTACACACTGCACACTACACACTACTCACTGCACACATACTGTATACACACTGTGTGCACACACAAAGATAAACTGGAGGATAGGATGCTCTGCAGTCGTCCTGAGAAGAGGAAGGAGAAGAAGAAGAAGATGGAGTTGAGGAATGGTAACATGGATCAGGCTATACTTCATGTCCACGATGCATTACCGTGCTTGTGTTCGTGCATGACCAGCTGTATCGTGCCAAAGCACACCTCTTCCATCCATGCCAGGGCCAAAGGAAGTGTACCAATCTGAGCACAGCAGGGGGCACAGAAAAACTGGTCTTTGGGGGTCAAACGTGCTCGGGCACGGTACAGACTGTCTAGCGTGTGTTCGCCCTCAAACAGTAAGGCGTCTCTCTGCCGGCTGTTTCCGTCCTCTCCGTCTTTACTTTCCTCTTCACAGTCTCAGAATGAGACAGCCTATTACCTCAGCTCCTGACTCCGTGCTCTGTGCTCGGGTTTTATATTCCACTAAATGAATAGGCGCTTGAATTAAGTCATCTCCATTAAGTCTCGCTGGAGTAATAAGAAGGGTCAATACTCTTTGGCCCTGCTATTCTTCAGATTGTGAGGGCTCCCTTCTGACCCATTACTGAAGGTGATTCTCAGACTTTTGGAGGAACTTCTCTCTCTCTACCCAAAGACACGGGCGGCCTGCAGGGGGAGAAAAGTTGTCATTAAAATCTCTGATCCCTTGACCCCACTCCAAGGTCGTTTAGTGGCAGCAATTACTGAGTGTATCTTAAAGGAGGAGGCTTCTGTGGTCGTTAGTGTGGACCGTCCCCCGGCCGATTCCCCGGGGGGAGAGACAGAGTGTGTGTGTGTGTGTGTGTGTGTGTGTGTGTGAGGGGCTGAGAGCCAGCCCTTAAGCCTGTAGCGTCCTAAGAGGACTCGACTGAAGACGAGGAGGATGGTGGTGAAGGACTGGAGTCAGTGAGGAGACTGAAGGTGATCTGACTCTGAGGAGATGAATGTTTAGATTCTCCTCCACACTGACACGTTGACGTCAGCTGATCTAATGTATGATAACTGGTAACTGGAAAACCTTACAGTCAAGTTATCTACACGCTCCACGAGTCTGTCGTCAAAGAAGATTCAACGTACGTTTACATTCAGACGAGTCGATGAGTTTAAAGGGGCGGTACGTTGAGCACGGGCGCCGAGAGCAGCTAATACTAAGATGAAAAGGACAGGAAGTGGCTGCGGCTAGTTTTAAACTCTGACGTTAATTTGAAAAACTATTATCATATTCAGTTTCCTTTAATGATCAAACTCTTCCTGGGTGAGATGGATCTTAGGGCGTACTGTCCCTGCCCCCGGACTAACCGGGCTGAGCCGGTTACCTCTGTATATCTTCACCTGATTATGAAGCGTGCTCACTCTACGACCGGTGGACTTAAAAAAAAAATGGACACGTGTTGGAGTCGGCGTCTGTACATCAGAGAACAACACAGAGAACATGACAGAGACTTTACTGACTTTGAGTCTTATTGTGAGTCATGTTAGTCAGATACAGGAGCAGCATAGCAGCATCCTGATACCTCCTCATCCTCATAATCTATAAGGAACAGCATCCTGACACCTCCTCCTCATCATCTATAAGGAGCAGCATCCTGACACCTCCTCCTCCTCATCCATAAGGAGCAGCATCCTGACACCTCCTCCTCCTCATCTATAAGGAGCAACATCCTGATACCTCCTCATCATCGTCTATAAGGAGCAGCATCCTGACACCTCCTCTTCATCTATAAGGAGCAGCATCCTGACACCTCCTCCTCCTCATCTTTAAGGAGCACCAGTCTGACACCTCCTCTCCTCAGAGCTTCTCCTTCTGCTCTCAGGCTAATTAGACGAGTGACAGCATTGGCACTGATTGGCATTATAAAGCTGCACCATCACTGCTCACCGGTTTGGACCCCTCCTCCCCCCTTGCCTCCCACCTCCTCCCCCATCTCTATGTCTGTTCAAAGTTTACATCAGAGGAATTATTTAAGATAAAAGACAAAAAGAGTCTCCTCCGACACAGATTAACTTCACACATCTTTATGGAGAGAAGAGTTCACACTTCCTCTCTCTGACTCCCCCTCTTCTCCCCCTCTCTACCTCCCACTCTTCTCCTCCTCTCTGACTCCCCCTCTCTGCCACCTCCTCTCTGCCTTTATTCTCCCTCTATCCTCCTTCTCTCCCTTTACCTCCCTCTTCCTCTCTGTCTCCTCTCTTCTCTACCTCCTTCTCACCTCTTTACCTCACCTCTCCTCTCACCCCAGTTCGCCTCCCCTCTCTGCCCCCTTTATCCACTCTGCCTCCCCCCTGTCCTATCTACCTCCCCTATCTTCTCTCAGTCTCCCCTCTGTGCCTCCTAGTGGAGGAGAGAGAGAGAGAGGAGGAGCAGAGGAGTGAGTGAGCTCTGTCACTGCTAAGTCTGGCTGCACTACAAAGGTTAGCAGATCTGACTGTCAATAGTGTCTTGTGGGTGGGAGGGGGGAGGAGGGGGAAGCAGGAGGTGAGGTGGAGGGGGGGGGGGGGGGGCTGGTCGCTTTGAGAGAAAGAGATACTTTGATATTTCGGAATGTTAGAAGGGTGAATGTGGAGAAGTGGAGGTTGGGGATCTAATTACCGGGCCATAATTGGGGGCTGGGGAATAGGTTGCCGTCCTCTCAACTCGCTGCAGATCAATTATGTTAAGAGAACATCTGTAAGTAGAGCTTAATGAGGTCCATTAGAGCAACATGCGCTGCCTTCCCTAACGCTGCTTGTCAGCTTCTTGGATGAGCTGGAGTGTGCTGCTGACTGGGGACCTGCTGGAGGGGCTTAAATAGAAGAGGAGGCTCCACTCCGCAGCGCTTTCCTCCGCCGGAGAACATAACAGACACACCGGAGCACCACACGGACAGGAGAGGAGCGGACAGGGGAGGAGACAGGGACACAGAGACAGAGACAGAGGGACAGGAAGAGGAGAAGAGGAGGGACGCCTTTTGAAGCTGGATCGGGACGCTTTCATCGATCACACATCCTAAAACTTGATCCCAACTGTTCTCCAACTCGCGCCGCAGAGTTTCCTCCCGCTCAGCTGGACTTTAGAGACTTTCCTTGAGGACATTTCGCATCCAGAAGAGGACACACTCGGCGGGGTTCTGATCTGCGCACTTCTGGCTCTACTTCAAGGTTTGTTCTTTTCTTATTTTGTTGCTGAACGCGGAGTGACAGCTTCACGTAAAGAGCGCGGAGCAGACAGTCGAGCGCGACGATGTGTGTGTGCGTGCGTGTGTGTGTGTGTGTGTGTGTGTGTGTGTGTGTGTGTGTGTGTGTGTGTGTGTGAGAGAGAGAGAGGGTAGGGTGAGTGTGGGTTTTATGATGCAGCTCCTCGCTCATGTCTCCATCATGGAGCAGAGGTTTAGGGTCATGTAAGCAGCCTCTCTGCTGTGTGGCGCGTGCCTCCGATGCATGGCTCGCTCCTCTCCTCGTGTCCTCCGTCCTCCCCTCTTAGGGTGGAGGGGGGAGGAAGGTGAGAAAGTGTCGGAGAGCTGACTGAAGGCAGGGCGAGGGGAGGTGGCAGCCTCCCTCACTCTGCAGTAAATTGCGTGATTACGGAGATAGCGCGCTGAAATAATTCAATCCATGACAAAAGCTAATTAGAGTCAGGTAATACCTGTCAGCTTTAATGCAGCTCATCACTCAGCGCGGCGCGAGCTCCGTTTATGACCCATCTCATTATCACCGCGCTTTGGGCTCGAGCCGCATGCCAACTATTGACTCGTGTCTCCTCCTCCCCTTGCCTCACCCTCCCTCATCATGCCTCCCCCTCTACCCCTGCCTCCTCCTCTCTCACCCTATCTCACCCCTCTATAGGAATATTTAAGAGAATAACTTGTCAGTCAGAGAGTGGGGACACGGGTGGAGGGCGGGGCTATGTGTGGGTATGTGTGTGTGTGTGTGTGTGTGTGTGTGTGTATGTGTGTGTGTGTGGGGGGGTCCATCCTTTAATTACAGGAGTGATTAATATGAAGAGAGAAAGAGATGATCACAGGATACATGCGTGAGTGTAACTGCTGCTTTGGCGTGGCGTGTCAATGTGTGCGAATGGGATTAGTTACTTCTTTTGGTCACTTTACTCAGCGGCCTCTACCATCAGTGTGTGATTGTGTATGAATGGATGAGTTAATACTGATGGACTCTACGCAGCGGCCTCTACCATCAGCGTGTGAATGGATGAGTTAATACTGATGGACTCTTTACACAGCGGCCTCTACCATCAGTGTGTGAATGTGTATGAACGGATGAGTTAATACTGATGGACTCTTTACACAGCTGCCTCTACCATACTTTACTGTGAGTTTACACCAGGCCGTTAAATTGCCACTACCACTGGGGGGAACAGGTCTAGTTTAGACTCTGACATCAGTGAGGATCAGGTCTAGTTTAGACTCTGACATCAGTGAGGATCAGGTCTAATGTAGACTCTGATATCATTGAGGATCAGGTCTGATGTTGATCCTGAGATCAGTGAGGATTGGGTCTGATGTGGATACTGATATCATGAGGATTAGGTCTGATGTGGATTCTGATGAGGATCAGGTCTGATCTAGATTCTGATATCAGTGAAAATCCGTTCTGATGTAGATTCTGTGAAGGATCAGGTCTGATGTAGATTCTGGGAAGGATCAGGTCTGATGTAGATTCTGATATCAGTGAGAATCAGGTCTGATGAGATAGGTGTGCTGGAGAGGAAGGAGTCCACCATCAGAGTCATGAGTCTGTAATCTTTGATCATCAAAACTTTATCCAATATTGATGTCTTAGTTTTGTTGCCATGTTTTCTAACTATACGATAGGGCCTCTCTGCACACACCTGTCTGCCTGTCTGTCTGTCTGTGTGTTTTTATAACAAAGTAACGCGTTCCGTGTTTGCGCGCACCTGCGTTGTAAAGTGGGCGTTCTGTGCGCGTGCACGTGCAGCCTGCCCTCCTCTCTCCGCGGGTTGGCCGGTGATCGGTGAGTGACCTTACCGAGGAGGTGTGAAGTTTCTCCGGTGAGGAGTTGGGGGGTGCGGAGGTAATAAAGCGCCACTTCCTGCTTCTCCCTCCGTTTATTCACTGCTGCACGCAGCGGCGAGTGGCGGGAGGAGGAACACCTGTAGCTGGGTACCACACACACACACACACACACACACACACACACACACACACACAAATACACACACACCGGCTCTCCACGTGGAGCTCATCACCTCCATCCACATGTCGGAGTGGTGAAGTTTAGGAGCGCGAGGACCTGAAGCAGTTGGAGGTCACAGTCTGTTTACCTGGCTCAGAAAGGTGAGTAACGTGCACGTGGACACGCTGGAACCCTGATTAAAATCTGAAAGGCTAAATGATGAAATTTACTGTTCAAACTTAGAATGGTAAAAAAAAAAAGGTGTGACAGGTTAGGTGTGGATTTAAGAGAGTTAATATAAGAGAGAGAGAGAGAGAGAGAGAGAGAGAGAGAGTGGGGTGGGTGCAGACCTGCGGGGGGAGCTCTCTCTCTCTCTCTCTCTCTCTCTCTCTCTCCCTCTCCCTCTCCCTGTCACGTCACAGCGGTGTGACTCGTGCAGCGCGTGCAGCAGGAGCTGTGTGTGTGTTGTTGGATTAGATGGTCTCAGCGCGCGGAGGGGAAGCGTCTCTTTGTCGTCCTGTCATTCGCTGCTGCCTCTCTCCGCGCGCGCAGCTCCTCCGGTGCTCGGTGGACGAGCCTCTCTCTCTCTCTCTCTCTCTCTCTCTCTCTCTCTATCTCTCTCGCGCTCTCTCTCCGTTGTACGGTCGGTGTTCCCTCGCCGTCTTCTTCGTCTCCGTCTCTCCCTCGGTGCTCGGTGCCCGACGCTCTGGATCTCTTTACCGGTAACAAAGCCTGATCCCGGCTCCTGCTCCCGGCTTCCTCTCCCCGCACACAGCGGCTCTCCGGTCCGGCGGCTCCGGGTTGCATGGTGGAGCTTCGGCGGCTTCAGCGGCTCAACAAATGCAGAAAAGGGAGAAAAGTTTCGGTAAGATACCGTTTGTTTGTTTGTGTGTGCGCGTGTGCGTACGTGTGCGCGCGCGCGTGTGTGTGCGTGTAGGACGGATCAGGTGTGTGTGTTTGTGAAAACAGCGCGTGTCCGTCGAAGGAGATGGACCGGATGTGACCCGGTCCACTGGTCCGGATGTCTGTGATAACCTTCATTAACGGGTCTGATGGGGGGGGCGAACACTGATATCTACGGCTCAGTTAAATGTCCGTGAACGCTTCAGTGTGTGTGTGTGTGTGTGTGTGTGTGTGTGTGTGTGTGTGTGTGTGTGTGTGTGTGTGTGTGTGTGTGTGTGTGTGTGTGTGTGCGTGCGTGCGTGCGCGTGTGTGTTTTTCAGTCCGTTATTGGCCTTTCCAGCTCTCCGCTGCCATGGCAACAGTAATTAAACTGATCGGGTGAAATGTCAGCATCTCTCGGAACAGCTGCGACTGAAATAGCTGCTCCGCTCATCCCTCAAACTCCCCCCGCTCCACTCCGAGACACACCGGGCTGAATGTGGCCGGGACCGGACCGACAGCAGCCTGTAGAGGAGGAGGTGAGGCGGAGGAGAAGGAGATGAGGAGAGGAGAGGAGAGGAGAGGAGAGGAAGGGTTGGTGTGAGCAGGACACGATCCAGCGCGTAAACCAAACCGATGTGATTAGCTCCCCTCCTCGCAGCTGTGATTTCTGGAAGCTTTTGTTCGGCTCTCTCCTCCTCCTCCTCCTCCTCCTCCTCCTCCTCCCGGCAGCAGGAGGAACGGGGTGCTCAGGTTCCTGCCGGGCAGAGTAAAAAGGAGGACTAACTCTGCTCTTTTAATTTGGTAATGAGACACTTTGTAGTGGAAAGCAGCCGGACGGATCAGCTCGCGCTCTCAATCATGACAATTAACAACCCCCCCCCTCCTCACACACACACACACACACACACACACACACACACACACACACACACACACACACACACACACACACACACACACACACACACACACACACACACACACACACACACACACACAGACCTTCATTAAAACCGGAAGCCACGAGCTAAACCGAGACCGGTTTGATACTCACTTAAAGATGCGTGTGTGTGCGCGCGCGTGCGTGTGTGCGTGTGTGTGTGTCCCTTTAATGTCGTCATGATAAAACATTTTAAAATACATTTTAATCGGTTTGATTCCACGGCATCAAGGAGAGAAGTCTTATCCATCCAGCCTTTAATCATCTCTTGATTTTAATCTGGAACAAACTCCAGCACGCGGTTGAAATTGCACAGAAAAGTTGACAATGTTTTTGTGAAATGTACACAGTGCTGTCTTTGTTAGAATAGAAAAAGTATCTAGTGTTTTTAGAGTCTGGTACTTTGTGATCATTCAAATTCAAGTTTGTGTTACTTTAAAACATGATTTGACAAACATTTAAAAAAGTAGTTAAGCTGGTTGAGAGTTAACAAAGTGTGCAGAGAGAGAGAGAGGTGAGGACAGGAAAGATCCGCTTCAGACGCCACGTCCCTCGGGGCAATGTTTGAAACAAACTAAAGTAAAGGTGAGCTGAGAGTAAAGGTGAGAGTAAAGGTGAGCTGAGAGTAAAGGTGAGCTGAGAGTAAAGGTGAGCTGAGAGTAAAGGTGAGAGTAAAGGTGAGATGAGAGTAAAGGTGAGTTTAGAGTAAAGGTGAGATGAGAGTAAAGGTGAGAGTAAAGGTGAGATGAGAGTAAAGGTGAGATGAGAGTAAAGGTGAGAGTAAAGGTGATATGAGAGTAAAGGTGAGATGAGAGTAAAGGTGAGAGTAAAGGTGAGCTGAGAGTAAAGGTGAGAGTAAAACTGAGAGTAAAGGTGAGATGAGAGTAAAGGTGAGAGTAAAGGTGAGCTGAGAGTAAAGGTGAGATGAGAGTAAAGGTGAGAGTAAAGGTGAGCTGAGAGTAAAGGTGAGAGTAAAACTGAGAGTAAAGGTGAGATGAGAGTAAAGGTGAGAGTAAAGGTGTATGTGTTCATATCATCGGTGTGACACAAACGTGTGTGAAGTTTAGAACAAGTTTGTTTTTATAGTAACATCATCAGAAGAGTCACCGTCTGCAGACATGTTTACTAACAAAGTATCACCTTTTACAACTCTGTGTGTGTGTGTGTGTGTGTGTGTGTGTGTGTGTGTGTGTGTGTGTGTGTGTCATTGTGTGTGTTGAGGGGGACAAAGGGGAGTGGGGGTGTGCCTCTCTCTCTCTCCTCGGGGAGCAGCAGGAGAATACTAATTCGGCCCGGTGCTGGGGGGCCAACAAAGAGTCTCCTCAGTCAGCTCAGGACGCACAATACAAAGACCACGCCCCCTCTCTCACACACACACACACACTCTCTCACAGAGCACACATGCACACACACACACACACACACACACACACACACTCTCACTCTCTCACAGAGCACACATGCACAGGAGGCCAGGAGGAGAGAAAGTGTTAAAACAGGAGAAAATGTTTTGTGTGTGTGTGTGTGTGTGTGTGTGTGTGTGTGTGTGTGTGTGTGTGTGTGTGTTACTGGTCCAACAGGCTGCAGACTTTACTTCTTTATTTTTCACACTCAGCTGTTTGTCTCTGAATTAAAAGAAACATTTCTGTGTGTGAGTGTGTCTGTATCTGTGTCTGTATGTGTGTGTGTGTGTGTGTGTGTGTGTGTGTGTGTGTGTGTTTAATGTGTGTGTGAGATCGTCTCACTTTGTAATGTTTCTAATAAATCAAAAATAATCTTTTTTTTCCAGCTGTTAGCGTCGGGGGAAACAGAAAGTTTCACATCTTCTCTGAACAAACTGAAAATGAATGTATTGATATGAATCATTTCTTACAGAGTGAAACAGTAACTACACTATAACTCTACATAAACACTATCATTACTATCATCTCTGATGAGAGCTTACAGAGTGAAACAGTAACTACATGAAGAACTCGTCCTCACCGCCGCCGACAGACCGGCCTGTTGTGGCTCGTAGAGACAGCCATGAACATCTGATTCAAGCACAAGACCTTCCAAATCCCCTTCATCCATATCAGTTTGAAGTTGAAACATACTTTTATCATACTTTAGTTCTTCTCAGCTTTCTCCACAGAGCCTGTTAGCATAGCTACCAAAGGTGAGGTGAGGTCCCACCCACTTATCTGTTATAAGTCTGTAGCTTCAGTGGGGTTTTAAATGTATTTAATGTTTTTCATTTTACTTTCTTACCTGGAATATAATATATATATAAATGTGTATATATGCTGCATTCAAGTGTTGTCGGACACATCGGAAAAACGAGTTTCCAAGTTGTAAAAGTCACATGAACACCTGCTGAAGAATGACGGGCCCGACTCAGCTATAACTTTTATCAGCAACATTTCACTGACCTTCTTCTTTGTAGCATCAACACTTGTTTGTGCTGTTGTTACAACGTTCAGACTTTCTGAACTGAAATCACGTGAACACACTGAAGTCAGAAGAACGACTTCACAACTCAGAAACTGTGACCACCTGAGCAGCACCTGAATGCAGCAATACACCTTGTCCTCCTTCTGGTGCTCCTCCTCCTCCTCGTTCTCTGTCAGAGTATATTCAGTGTGTAAACCCGTCTCTCTCTCTCTCTCTCTCTCTCTCTCTGTGTTCACCTGTCAGGTATACAAATGCTGTCCGTCCAGCCGGACACCAAGCCTAAAGGCTGTGCCGGCTGTAACCGGAAGATCAAGGACCGCTACCTGCTGAAGGCACTCGATAAGTACTGGCACGAGGACTGTCTGAAGTGTGCCTGCTGTGACTGCAGACTGGGAGAGGTGGGCTCCACGCTGTACACCAAGGCCAACCTCATCCTGTGCAGGAGGGACTACCTACGGTAAGATACACACATACACACACAAAGTTACACAGTTACACAGTTACACACACATACACACACAAAGTTACACAGTTACACAGTTACACAGTTACACACACACAAAGTTACACAGTTACACAGTTACACACACACACACAAACCTGCGGCATTGTGTTTCCTGTTCTCCAGTATGTTCTTCTCCACTCTGTAGTTCAGATTGAGATTCTGTTCAACTACACGTGGTGTTGATAGAAAGGTGGCTCCTGTAGATGCTAACAGAGGCAGTCTCCTCTGATCTGAGCTCACCTGACCTCAGGTGCTTTCAGGTGTTCTCCTCTGAGACTCTGAGGCTGTGTTTTGTCAGCAGCCCTTATTTTGACTCTGTGAAAGATTCAGGCCAGCTCCTCCTCCTCTGCTCCTCCTCCTTTGCTCCTCCTCCTCCTCTTACTGTCGCTGATGTTCAGCTGAGTTTCAGTTCATGATGAAGGACATGAGGTTGCTTCATGTCCTCATGTCTCTTCATGTCCTCATGTCTCTTCATGTCTCTTCATGTCCTCATGTCTCTTCATGTCCTCATGTCTCTTCATGTTTCGTCATGTCCTCATGTCTCTTCATGTCTCTTCATGTCCTCATGTCTCGTCATGTCCTCATGTCTCTTCATGTTTCGTCATGTCCTCATGTCTCTTCATGTCTCTTCGTGTCTCTTCATGTCCTCATGTCTCGTCATGTCCTCATGTCTCTTCATGTTTCGTCATGTCCTCATGTCTCTTCATGTCTCTTCATGTCCTCATGTCTCTTCATGTCCTCATGTCTCGTCATGTCTCTTCATGTCTCTTCATGTCCTCATGTCTCTTCATGTCCTCATGTCTCGTCATGTCCTCATGTCTCTTCATGTTTCGTCATGTCCTCATGTCTCTTCATGTCTCTTCATGTCCTCATGTCTCTTCATGTCTCTTCATGTCTCTTCATGTCCTCATGTCTCGTCATGCCTCTTCATGTCTCTTCATGTCTCTTCATGTCTCTTCATGTCCTCATGTCTCTTCATGTCTCTTCATGTCCTCATGTCTCGTCATGCCTCTTCATGTCTCTTCATGTCTCTTCATGTCATCATGTCTCTTCATGTCTCTTCATGTCCTCATGTCTCTTCATGTCTCTTCATGTCTCTTCATGTCCTCATGTCTCTTCATGTCCTCATGTCTTGTTTCTCCAGCTTGTTTCTTAACACGTTTGTGTTTGCTCTGTTCTCTGAGCTCACTCTCTCTCTGCGCTTTAGGACTCACATTAGGCCCAGTTGTCCTGTACCGTGCTGAAGCCTGAGTGTAGTTACCTCTTGTCTTGACCATCATAATGTCATAATGCTGGATAGTCTCATATTTTCTTTGCTACTATTGTTTGATGATTGTCGAGAGGAACGGTCACATCGATCAGGCTCTAGGTCATGTCCACGTTGTGTTCCTGGGCTTGTATCCATGCATAAGCAGTCGTACCGTGCTGAAGCCGCATCTGAGCTGAACCTGAGCTGCACCTTAGCTGCTCCACCTGAGCTGTACCTGAGCTCTACCTGAGCTCCACCTGAGCTGTACCTGAGCTGTACCTGAGCTGCACCTTAGCTCCACCTGAGCTGTACCTGAGCTACACCTGAGCTGCACCTTAGCTGCTCCACCTGAGCTGAACCTGAGCTCTACCTGAGCTCCACCTGAGCTGTACCTGAGCTCTACCTGAGCTCCACCTGAGCTGTACCTGAGCTGTACCTGAGATGTACCTGAGCTCCACCTGAGCTGAACCTGAGCTACACCTGAGCTGCACCTTAGCTGCTCCACCTGAGCTGAACCTGAGCTACACCTGAGCTGCACCTTAGCTGCTCCACCTGAGCTGTACCTGAGCTCTACCTGAGCTCCACCTGAGCTCCACCTGAGCTGCACCTTAGCTGCTCCACCTGAGCTGTACCTGAGCTCCACCTGAGCTGTACCTGAGCTGTACCTTTGCTGCTCCACCTGAGCTCCACCTGATCTGCACCTGAGCTGACTCCACCTGAGCTGCTCCTTAGCTCCACCTGAGCTGACTCTGACTCTTTCTGTTGGTCCGGGTTGTTTGAAGGATGTTGTTCTGTGAAAGGTTACAGCGCCCCCTGGGCTGCTGAATGTCACCATCATCAAACATTCTGTCCTTAACACACACACACCTAGTTTTTCTCTGACTGAGACTCACACACACACACACACACACACACACACACACACACACACACACACACACACACACACACACACACACACACACACTAGTTTTTCTCTGACTGAGACTCACACACACACACACGCACACACACACACACACACAAACAAACACATCAGACACACACACACACACACACACACACACACACACAGACACACACACACACACACATTAACGTCTAAGTCCTTCAGGCTCTTTGAAGCCGTCGAGCTCTTCAGGAGAATTTTCTGGAATGTGTCTCTTTATTCAGACTGATTGAATCTGCTGCTCGATGTTACAAAGGAGCTCTCAGAGCACAAAGACACACACACATACACACTTAGACACACACACACACTTAGACACACACACTTAGATAGCTAGACACACACACACTCCATCACTTCAGAGATGATTACCTGAGTCTAATTACATACAAGGAGGAAACTTTGTTTGATGTCTTTTGTGTGTTTCTCCCCCCTGCTCCCCCCCCCCTCCTCCTCCTCCCCTGCAGACTAGCAGACACACATTGCTACAAGGTGAACTATTCCCCGCCATGTGTTATTATTAATAACTGACAGAGCGAGGGGTCACCCAGCACAGCTCTCTGTAAAGCTCCCCGGGCAAGCCGAGCAGGCTGCAGCTGGGTGTGTTGTAAAACAATACTCCCCTCTTCCTCCCCCCTGAGGAGCGGAGCTGCTTGAAATAAGAATAATGCATGGGGGAGAGAGGGGAGGTGTGAAAAATGAAGATGTCACCACCTTGCTGTAAGCGTACCTTCAGCTCAGAGCGTGAGGATGTGGACGCACTATAACTTTCTCGTTAAACTCCTGATGGCAGTGTTAAATCCAAGCGCACACGGGGTGAGGAGCCAGGAGGGAGGAGGGGGGAGGAAGAGGAGAGGGATGATGATCAGCAGTCATATAATGGGAGGTCTCCAGTTTGGAGGGTTAATAGTCGAGTTTGCGGTGCAGTGGATTTGACTTGGTCTGATATGAATCTGCAAACGTCTGTTTAAGAGTAAAACATGGAAACAAACAGAAAACAGTTCATGTGTGACTAAAGATCCCTCCCACAGTTGGCTGCTAATGGTTGCTAACATGTAAATAAGATAAAGTTCTAGTGTGACTGGTTGTTGGGGCTCTATGGGGACGAACTCACTGCAGGGGACAGCCTCTAGTGGACACTGGAGGAACTGCAGCTGTAAAGTTGGACATTTTAACATGGGGCTCTATGGGGACTGACTCACTGTAGGAGACAGCCTCTAGTGGACACTGGAGGAACTGCAGCTGTAAAGTTGGACATTTTAACATGGGGCTCTATGGGGACTGACTCACCGCAGGAGACAGCCTCTAGTGGACACTGGAGAAGCAGTTTTTGGTATTTTATGTTGAATTTGTTGTATGCATTGTTGTAGGCCTTGTGTTGCCCTCTGTGTCTCTGAATGAGGAGAGGAGGAGTTCACAGAGCAGGTTGGTGTATGTCTCTCTGTACAGGTATCACACCTGTATGTACATCTGTGCATGTGTCACACCTGTTAATGTGTTCAGTAATGACTAACTAGTTTGCCAGACAATTCAAAACTGAAACATATTGAAACACTTACTTTGAGATACTGAACACATCCATCGTCTCCTGAGGCTTAGAACTGTTGTAAATGATGTGACCACCCGTCATAGAGCCCCCCCCCGACCCGACCCCCAACACACAGACACACACGTGCGCACACACACACAAGCAGACCTCTCAGTAATGAATATTGACTTGTTTTGTGTTAAATTCATCCGAGCACATCGAGGATTTAAAAGTCAGCAATGGTCAGATCGTTTATATGTTAGACATGTTTTAACCTCCATCACTGACCCTCACATTTTCTTCTTCCTCCTCCTCCTCCTCCTCCTTCTACTCCCTCTGCCTCCTCTCCCCCCTCCTATTTTTGCTCCTCCTCAGTGTGAGTTCTCCTTCAGATTAACGTCTCTGCTCCTAATAAACGCTCTGTATTGACATCAAAGGAAAGGGGGGAGCAGTGCATCATGGGTAGTTGAATCCTGAACCTCTCTCTCTTTCCTGTCTTCTCCTCTCTCCTCCTCTGTCTCCTCTTCTCTCTCTCTCTCTCCTCTCTCCTCCCCTCTCCTCTCCTCCTCTCTATACTCCCCTCCTCTCTCCTCTCCTTCCATCTCTCCTCCTTTCTCTCCTCTCTCCTCCTCTCTACTCTTCTTCCCTCTCTCTCCCCTCTCCTCTCCTCTCCTCTCTCACTCTCTCCCATCTCCTCCTCTCTATAATCCCCTCCTCTCTCCTCCTCTCTCCTCCTCACTACTCTCCTTATCTCTCTCTCATCTCCCCTTCCCTCTCTCCTCCTCGCGCCCCCTCAACTCCCCTCTCTCTCTCAGTAACAGCTCTACTCCTTCCTGCTCCTCTTTGTCTTTTTAATTAAAGCTCAGTCAGTTTGGAGCTGTTTGACCCCAGCTGTCCCTCCTCCTCCTCTTTATGGGGGTTGCTGTAGGTCATTTCCATGCATATATTACCCCTCCCCCCTCCCCCCTCCTCCTGCTCCTCCTCCTCTTGGTGATCCTGCAGGCTGCTCAGATGAAGAAAGCTAAATGTTTGAGGTTCAGACTTTCAGAAACGTTTAGATCAAGAATAAATGGAACCAAGAATTTCAGCTTCAAGCCTCTACGTAAGCCGGTTAAAACTTATACATATAGGCCACCTGTGTTTGTCCACCTGTGTGTGCTTACACCTGTGTCTGTCCACCTGTAACTGTCCACCTGTGTGTGGTTACACCTGTGTCTGTCCACTTGTGACTGTCCACCTGTGACTGTCCACCTGTGTGTGGTTACACCTGTGTCTGTCCACCTGTGACTGTCCACTCGTGACTGTCCAGCTGTGTATGGTTACACCTGTGTCTGTCCACCTGTGACTGTCCAGCTGTGTATGGTTACACCTGTGTCTGTCCACCTGTGACTGTCCACCTGTGTCTGTCCACCTGTGTGTGGTTACACCTGTGGTTACATACATCAGATGTTCATCAGTTGATTCTTTTAACAAGTGTGCTGAACTCTGCAGCTTTACTCAGTAGCCCCTGTGTGTGTGTGTGTGTGTGTGTGTGTGTGTGTGTGTGTGTGTGTGTGTGTGTGTGGTGTGTGTGTGTGTGTGTGTGTGTGTGTGTGTGTGTGTGTGTGTGTGTGTGTGTGTGTGTGTGTGTGTGCGCGCGCGCGTGTGTGTGTCTGTGTGTGTCTGTGTGTGTGCAGTCTGGCTCCTGGTCGTCTCCTCTGGCTGCAGCTCGTCACATATTTGGCTGTCTGCTCTGTTCTGCAGTGTGTGAGAGAGTGATAAGAGATGCTGTTAGACACACACACACACACACACACACACACACACACACACACACACACACACACACACACATACAGCAGGCTCTGGCACACATGATGTTTTTTCTTTGTTTCAAGTCTGTGTGTGTGCATGTGTACGTGTGTGTGTGGGTATCATCCTGTGTAAAAAGCCACAGACCTCTGCCATAGAATCCCCCCCGCCCCTCCCCAATAACGCTGCCCCTGTGTCTATAAGTATTGATGTTAAACAGCTCGCAGTGACACACACAGACGTGTTGGTCTGTTTTCTAAACCTCCTACTCTCCTACAAATGTACTGATTGGTCCAACACGCAGGATGTGAAACCTCAGTCTGACAAAAATACCAGGATGTCGTACTGATTCAGTAAAAACCTACAGTCTGCATCAGAGCGGTCTTACTGATGAACTGGATCACATTGTAGAGTTCTAAAGTGAGAGAGCCAGGATTGAAAAGACGCTGTCGTTAGTTTAGCATGAAGGTTTAAAGTTTGATAAATCACAGCTTCAGATTTCCACTGTCAGAAACACTGCTGTGAGTTGTTATGAATGCTTATCATCACTAATTTAAAGACTTCTAAATGTCCTTAGGATGCTTTATAAGTGATGGTTTGTATAAAGTGTTACCTCTTATTAAAATGATCCTGATTTGTATTTATAAGAAGGCACTAACAGATGAATTAATTAATAATAATCAGTAGATACATTGATTACATAAATCAGCTGTTTGTCCTGCTGTTGATGAATGCTCCTCCTCCTCTTATGAGCTCTTTATGGAGATGAATGTGACATGGGGGGGGGGGGGGGGGGGTCTGCAGGCTGCATCTCTTAGTAACAGGATGGAGGGGGACAGGATGTGAGCGCTCTGATTGTTCGGGGTCAGACTCAGGCGTTTATTTGGACGGAGCAGAGCTGAACCCCTCACTGACTTCTCAATTAGAGGGCGACCTACCGGAACACACACACACACACACACACACACACACACACACACACACACACACACACACACACACACACACACACACACACACACACACACACACACACACAGACACACACACACACACACACAGAGCAGGTCAGATTCATCCAGCAGACAGGCTCAGGTTTGATTGAGTTACACACTGTATAAAAACACACCTGTATAAAGGTGTTACACAGGTGAGGGTTTGTAAAGAATGAAGTCTCCTGTAATCTTGATTCTGGAGCAGGAATCTGCTCCATTCTTTACTGCACACCGACACACTTTCTCACAATATAAAGCTTTATTAGCATGACACATGACATTACATGAACATCAACACAATACAAAACAATAACAACAGTGATCAATGACGTTGTATCAGTAAACGTAATAATTAGGGTAAGGGTTAGTACCGTCTCTCTCTCTCTCTGAAGACGGATGCAGGTGTTTCGTCTACAGCTGCAGCACAGAGCTGGTGTTATGATTTGAACGCAAATGTTTCAGTCCGGTCGGTTGGACACATTGTGTTTGGACCGTCTCCTGCAGTTCAGATTAGCTCGATTAGCTCGATTAGCTGTGTCTGTGGCAGCGTTGGTGTTTGGAGCAGATCATTGCAGAGGCCTCGGCCTGGCACACACAGCCGGGCTGCAGGGCTCCAAACCTTTCATCACAGCGTGTTAAAAAGGACCCAAACACAGAGCTGAGAATTTGAAGCGCTCTTTGCGTGGAGGGTGAGGGAGGCTCCTGGTTAAAGGACAGACGAGTGACAGATGATGTTAGACCATGTGATGCTCTTTCTTCGTCTGCTAACCTCTCTGATGAAATCGAGGTGTACATAATGTTTATTCTCTCAGAAAAGAGAAGTTAAAGATGTGTTTCTGCTCCCATCACTGTCTCATCCTCCTCCTGGAGCTGCATGCTGAGTATTTCTCTCACACTTTGTCTTTCCTCAGCAGTAATTAGTGAACTGTGCGGCCTCCTCGGGCTGACAGTCGGGCTCCCGCTCCTCTGAACGCTCCGCTCGCTCTCACACAGCCGCCCATAATTCATCATTAGGATATCAGAGTCCAGGTGCAGATGAGAACTGATCGAGCCGGCAGCCGGGCACGTCGGGCCGCTCAACGAGGAAAATCTTATCCCAGGGACAATTCCCAGGTCACGGCCGCTCTAATTGAAATAATTTAGCCCCCCGAGTGGTTTAATCAGCGACGATCACAGAGCAGGGAGAAGTCAGCGGCGTGTACGAGCATCTCTCATGTCTCAAAGTCTAACAGTTGAGGAAAGAAAAACCTGGTTTGATCTTAGAGACTGAACACTCTCTCTCTCTCTCTCTGAGTGTCCAACATTTTCTCACTGAAAACTCTTTCCATTCAGCAGCAGCACAAAGCTTCTGAACGACTCAGTATGAACAGTGTGACTGTCTGAAGGTGATGATGAAGAGTAAAGGTGTGTTGGGCAGTTTGATCAGTGACATGGACTTTCTCCTGCAGCCTTCAGTAAAACTTCTCTGTGATGTCAGGACAAGCTGATGTGAGATCAGGGAAACATGATATATACCAAGCTTTGTGTGTGTGTGTGTGTGTGTGTGTGTGTGTGTACGTGTGTGTGTCGGGTGGGAGGGTGTTCAGCTGCCTGTACACAGGAAGCCCCCCCCCCCCCCCCCTCAGTGTTATTAACCCTGAGCTGTAATTATGCAGATTGTCAGAGGTGTCGTGGGGGGGCTCTGTGCTGTGATGTGGGCTGGTTGTCGGCGTGGTGGGCAGACAAGCGGACGGCGTGCTTTACTGAGCTCGAACACATTCATCATGTTGACTGATGGAGGAGGGGGGGGGGCGCTCCCGGGTCCCGCTGGTTAATGTAGTGGGTAATTAACTGTCATTTGGCTCGTAATAGGCCCATGATCAATGACGGTGAGGAAACACACTCTGATCCTGCAGCTGATGAATGCACGCCAAGCACGCCGAGGCCGGGCAAGTGGGAGGGGGGAGGGAGAGGGAGGGAAGCGTTAGGCCGCCAGTGGAATATCAAATGACCCCCCCCTGTCTTTTTTTTTAATGGATTAAGCCAAAAAGCCTTGTTTGTTGCCCTCGATGGAGCTGAAGACTCAGCCAGGTGAACGAGCTTCATCTTCAGAGTCTAATGTTCAGCGTTCAGTTTGGAAGTTTCTGAATTACAAAACAACATTTTATCAAATGTTTGTATTCATTACAGTTCATCAGTTCATCCTTCATTACTCGTTCATCGTTCATCCTTTCATGTTCATTTTGAGTTTTGACGTGTGTGTGTGTGTGTGTGTGTGTGTGTGTGTGTGTGTACTATAATAAACACACTGTGTGAGTTTTTTAACCAGAGATCATCTATTAGCAAGAGCTGACACACTGCTTTATGTTTTTAACACACACACACACACACACACACACACACACACACACACACACTCGGCCTGCAGAGTCCTGAGGGTTTATCATTACGCTCTATGATTTGAAGATGTGAGGAGTAACAGCTCCTCTCTGCTCTCCTGCTCTGTGTGTGTTTACATCTGTGTGCTAAAGAAACAAACTGACGAGCTGACCATGAAGCTGCTTCACCAACATCAGCTCACACATGCAGCTCATCGTGGACACTGTCAGGACTTTTTCAGGAGTTTGTGCATGTGTGCACAGGCTGCATTGTTTTCTGTGGGCTGAATAAAGAAGCTGTGATAATCCAGTAGGGTTGTGTCTGGTTCTTATTAAGGTCAGAGTCACATGAAGACTGAAAGTTAGCCTTTAGCCTCCTGTGATTCTGTAAACCTGCTAACTACTCTTCTCTCTTTTTACACAGATCTATAGAAATAATGTCTCTTCTTTTTGTCTGTGTGTGTGTGTGTGTGTGTTTCTCAGGTTGTTTGGAGTAACAGGAAACTGTGCGGCGTGCAGTAAACTCATCCCGGCCTTTGAGATGGTCATGAGGGCCAAAGAGAACGTGTACCACCTGGACTGCTTCGCATGTCAGCTGTGCAATCAAAGGTGAGTCATGTGACCTCTGCTCACCTGTACCTGCAGTCTGAGGAGAATCTCAGATGATCACAGATTAGTATCACACACACAATACAAATGTGTGTGTCTCAGAGTCAGCTCAGAGCTACAGGTGAGACTATCTGTGTCCTCTCAGAGCCCCGTTTATACATGAAGTGCAGCAATCACACGTCTGACTTCCTCGTGTCAAAGT